GGACCGGTAGACACGTGCTGAAGATCTCAGCAACTACAGGCGCCATTTTTGCACAATTCAGGGCATACTCACAGTAGGCCCTTATAATCGCAGAATCACAAAATCAGCGACCAGATCAAGTCCTTCTCAGGGCATACTCACACTAGGCAACCGAAATCGCAGTCGCAAAATGAGCGACCGGATAGAGTCCTTCTGGCCGTTCATTTTGCGATTCGGCGAGTTTGGGGTCGTAGTGTGAGTATACTCTGAAAGGAGGACTCTCTCTGACTGAGGACATTGCGATTCTGCCAAATTTCTGCGATTATAAGGGCCTAGTTGCACCACTCGACATCCGCCAAGATTCTGATGATGGCGATTCATGCAGCTAGGCTGTCGGCGTACTCTCAAGCATGCGATGCGCACAGATATAGCAGCAGAATGGTTCTGGCCGGAGAAGAAATCAGGTGCTCCAGAGGCAAGGAGACGTTTTTTTTCCACTTGGAAAGCCACGTACTTTTGTGGGCGGTTATCAACGACAGCCCCCAACTCCGTTACGCTAATCTACTGTGGAATTCAGCAAACGCTGAGCTCAGGGCATACTTTCACCCGAATAGAATGCCCGGTCATTATACCTGTATTTGCGGCAATTTTCAGTCCAGATGCAGCAATCATGACCGGACGTTCTATTCGGGTGATGCCGGTAGTGCCTTTTCTACTAAGCTCTGGATGTGATTGCAGTCAGATCCACCCAGGTCTGGCTGTAATGGCTGCCAGATATGTTTAGTAAAGGACTATTGTGAGTATGCCCTCAGTTCCTCCATCCGTTCAGGCAGCCAGACGTGCGGAGAGAGTTTAGGCTTGCGCTCCACCTACTTATTTCGAGGAAATCCGTCCAAGTATCTTTTTTTTCTTTTTTTTTTTTTTTTTTTTTTTTTTTGAACATACACCCCCGCCGGTAGTAGTGGTGCTGGTAAGAGCAGTCACCACTACTACCGGGGGAGAGGCTCCTTCTATTGGTGGGGAGCATCACCTGCTGGAAAGCGGGTCCAGCTTCCCATATACAAATTGTATTCAGAACGTCTCAGAGAAAAGTTGGAGAAAAGCTAAGTAAAAAGCCTGCCAGCATTGATTACCCTGGAATAGGGGATTGACTGAGCAGGTGTTACGACTGAGCAGGCGCTCGAAAATGACTCTCAGAAAGTAATTGGAAGTAGCCTGCCTGCAGCCTGAGCAGGTTGTCGAAAACGAGTCTCAGAAAGTAAAAGTACCCTGCCTACCCTTCTGTGTATTTGCGATGAAGGTGCACGTGTCGCCCAAAAAGCAAATCTCTTGACCCTTGCTGCCCAGAGGGGCACCAGAAAGCTGGGTCTTTGGATGATAGTGTATAATCCCAAGGGATGATGTGACAGAGGATAATGCAGAGGATAATGCAGAGGATAATGCAGAGGATAATGCGCGGGCTCAAGGAAGGGGGGGGCGGGTCAAGCGGGAATCTCAGCAAGGGCGAGTGAGTGTGGGGGGAAGGGATCAGGAAAGTCCGTCGGAAGGCGTAGGGGGAAGGAGGGTTCTATCGTTGTCCAGTCATTGAACAGTAGTCGGTAATCTCGCGACTCTACCCTCTCCTGCTGTTGGATCCCTTCCTTTCTGCTGCTGGTCCATTCCACTCTAGCTATCCAGCCTCCTCTAGCGCCTCCTAGCCAGTTGGAACAAAAGGCAGTGATGACTCTCTCTATATCCTCTGTCATTTGTAGGAGATCCAGCTTGATTTTCAATTCCTGCCATTTCCTTGTTATCTCCATTTGAACCTGTTGCCGGATTTGGTCCATTGTTTCTGTTCCTTCCACTCGCACTCCCTCCAGCGCCATCAGGCAGCTTTGCCACCAAAGTCCCCACAGCACTGCCCTGCGTCCCAGTCTATACATATTTTCTACGAAGGTTGGTTCTTTCTGCACCTGTGGCCAGTGACCCGTCAAGATGGCTCTCCAGGACCATGGCCATACAGGGTCCGGTATCATCTTTCTCCATATTCTGTCCCACCAGCGCCACGTGAGCTGTGCTGTAGGGCACTGCATAAAGATGTGTTCTATGGTTTCAGGCCTCTTTCGTGTGGGGAAGGCGCCTAGGCACCGTGGGCACCAGGGTGTCGCCAGACCTTTCTGCTCGAGATTTGTATGATCTACTAGCCAGTCCATAGTGGGTAAACAGCGATGTGTGATCTGCCATTGTAGAGAGGAGATCTTGGCTGGCTTGGATCCACCCTCCTGAAACCACCGGATCGGTGTGAGCGTATTCCTTTCTATATTGAGATGTTTGGCCCATCGATCAATTATT